AATCTACTGTGGGTGTTCTGTTGTAAGCCAGGACCATGTCTACTCTCCAATGAGTGCCTCAAGCACCTGAAGCGCCTCTATGCAATGCAGGCAATGATCAGTGTTCCAAATGCTTTGAGACTCATTGTTGACCTACAGCAGTGTTATCCATTATCTTTTCTTATTTCTATAACTTAAGTTTTGGTCATGACTTCAATGCCACTTGTGGCAATCTTTTGCTCGAGGCACTGAATGTTAAAATATAGTTTATCTTCTTAGGACTTATGGAACATTATCTATTATATTACTGCTGCTATAATCATCCCCTTCTGTCCATCTTGATGGCCTGGAAGAGAGGTAGTATGTTCCATTGGCTTTGGTTCTCAGAGCAGGTGGAACATCACTGAGGCCAGTGGCCTGGTAGGCGGGATGGCAAGATGAATGTCACTGGGACTACCCTCTGGCACAATGTTTAGACAGGGAGGCATGATGTTCAAAAGGGTGTGTTCCTTGGACTTAAATGCATTGTGACATAGTCTGAAGGTTTATCTGCTCAACTTCATGCTGGAAAGATAGGAGCACATTTGTTTAGTCTCGAAGGAGGAAGAGTAGATAATTTTAGATTTAAGGCCACTCAGCATCTGCTTTTCCTTCTTGAGTCTGGAACCGTTATACATTCTTGAGAGAAGAGAACAGAGTTGGACTTGACATTGAAGGAAGTATGATGGTAAGGACAATTTAAGAGAACTCTTTCAAAATGGTTGAAATTTGGGAGAGAAAGTGCTGGTATGAAATGATGGAGAATTAAGAAATTTTAAAGCTTCATGTGCTTGTATACACTTTGAGTGTTAAGGCAAATAATACCGTGAAGCTCAAGAATTTATTTAGTGTATTGGAATAAACAATTGCATCTTGGAATATGCGTCACTAATTAAGACTGAGGAATACTTTATTTTGGTGGTGGCTCAAGATGAAATTCTAGTTTGTTTTCTCATCATGGTGTTCATTTTATGTTGAAGTTAGCTATTTTGTTGAGAATCCACCAAGAACATTGTTGAATCTCTCTTTCTGGGCTATTTTGAGTTCTCTCCTCTTTCNAATCCACCAAGAACATTGTTGAATCTCTCTTTCTGGGCTATTTTGAGTTCTCTCCTCTTTCCGTGTGTAGGCATGATCTATGTTTTGTGTGGCTGTAACACCTGGGAATTAACACCTGGGATTTAGACGTGCCAGAGTTTAAACTTCCTTTTGGGTGGTGAGTGAATGTGTGTATATGTTGGAGGGTTGTCAGCAGAAAGGGGCCAATGGGGATATGGGGAGTTGTCTTTTGTCTGCAGCCCAGAGGATGATGTTTGGTGTCAATAAGAGGGGAGGGTTTCTTTGGGTGGGGGAGAAGTGTGAGCTTTTAGGATAAACCACAACTGGAAGCCAGTGATTGAATCTTGCAGACCACTGTTTCAGCGCTAGGTGAAACACTTTCTCCGGGAAATTGCAAGTGGTGGGATCAAACTGGGAGGGTCCTGAGGAAGGCCCTTCTCGATTCCTACAGTGGTGTTTTCCCTGGGATTTTTGCTGGCTGCCCAGCAAGCGTGTTCTACTTTGTGGGTGAGGAAAGACTTGTGCTCTCCTTCAAAGGAGAATGAGTCTACTCTTTGGGTTTAGATCTAATTAAACTCTGTGCTACTTGGCTTTTACAAGCAGTAAGTTACACCTGTACACAACAATAAAGCAGGGAACAAGAGGTAGATATAGATAATAACTTGTAGGAGATAAGAGCAAAGTGATGTTTGTGGGCATAGGCAATTTTTTCTCCTTACAATGAAAGTAAAGTAAAATGAATGTCATTTTCATTGCCAGGAGAAACTGGGTCTGTTGGGTGCCTTAGATAGACAAGGGNTGAATGTCATTTTCATTGCCAGGAGAAACTGGGTCTGTTGGGTGCCTTAGATAGACAAGGGTCAAAGTCAATGCTGTGACTTCATTTTGTTTGGATCTTTGAAACACAGAAAAATTGGAACCATTAGGTTGTTTCAGACAAAAGGCCAAAGATACAGAAGTTCTGTAACTGAAGTAGGAAAACTCATTTATTTTCCTGCTTTTGATCACCTCATATCCTTCTACAAAAACCTTCAGCCACTCCACTTTGCCTCCTTATTACATTCAAATGGATGTGCTGAGATACATTGATCCTCTCAGCCTTTGGGGGAAGCAGGAGCCTCTTAGCTGGTCATGGAGGTGGGTTGGGAGGACTATTTGGCTTAGAGATGCACATTCTGGAACAGCCCAGATTTCCAAATTTCATGTTATCTATGACAGAGGCAAAATGTTTTGCTTGTATGTTAAAAGCGTTTATTAGGTAATTCTAAACATTTAAAAGCAACCACAATTTTCATAACTCTGTTTTGGCATTGTCTTCCTTTTTTAATATACCAAGAACCTAAAAAAAAAAAAGGAGTTGGTCCAGGCCCCTAACTTCTCAGAGGCCCCAATTGTCTGCTACACAGGCTCTCACAATAGTCACAGAGACTAATGAGGAGGACAGACCTTTAATAACTAATCACATGAAGAATTCATTATGGTGGGGACTGAGGTGCCTTGAGAAGGTATAATGGGCCCTCCTCTGTTGATGCTGCCAGGGAGGAATTCCCTAGGCAGATGAAATTGAAGGGGCTAGCAGAAGTCAGCCAAGTTTGGGGCGGCAGAGGGCTGATGTTAGGCCCCAGAGGTGATAGGTTTCAATAACCAAATTAGTTTTTTGGGAAATAGATTCTAGAATGTTTTTCATATTTTGGGTTTGGGCAAGTGGGTGAATGGTGGCGTTATCAACCAAAATAGGTAACTGGAGGAAAATTATTTTCTGGCAGTGGATGGGTACATAGATGATTAGTTCAATTTAGGGTGATGTAGAATATGAGGTGGGTTGAGGATAGCTTGAGCTTATTTAACGGTACTTTAGGTTATTTGCTTTAGGGTGACTCATTTTAATTTTATGAGTAGGTACTATTATTTGTCCCATTTTTACAGAAGAGAAAACTGAGGCACTGAGAAGTTAAATAATTTGCCCAAAGTTGTGTAGCTAGTAAATGATACAGTATTCAGACCTAGTCAGTCTGAATCCACAGCTCCTTCCTCTCATTTTTTTTATCCTATTCTTTCATTAACTATATCCCCTATCATATGTTATTTGAAAACCTTATTTTTAATGGTTACATAACTTATTTAAGCATTCTTCTAATTTTACATATATATTGTTTTTAATTTGGTGCCTGTATTTCCAATTATATCTTCAGGATAAATATCTATAAGTGGGTTTCCTGTACTAAGGAATATAAATTGTTTAAGGCTTCTTGAATCATATAAACTCTTTTCTAAAAAAGTTCAAAAAATTTAGTCTAGATGTATTTTCTCAATTCCATATCGTTGCATAAATCAAAACAAAGCAGGAGAACTCAGTGATATAAGTGGTAGTTAGGATAATGAATCAGAGACTGTTAGAGCAGGAAGGGACTCAGGTATCATCTAGACCCTCCTCCTCCTTTTATTAATTAAGAACTAAGTCTCAGGGAGGTTAAGGGATATGCCCCAAACCACACCACCAGAGTCAGAGCTAGGACAAGAGTCTGCACTTAGCACTTTGTGATAATATAGTGTCTGAGTCTCTTGGATGGTTTAGATGATTCAAGGGTGTCCTTAAGTGTCCACCTGGGGTCCTGGCTGGAGATTTAGGAGGATTTTAGTATTTGTGTCAGTTTTACAATTTCCCCAAAGCTTCACAGTTGTATCAGAGGGGTGTGGAAGTAACCCAAAAGGTTCTGCTCTGAAATGAGAGGTCGTGTACTCACCCAAGGAAATAAAGAAGTCTGTTGGGCCAGGGGGAATCCTGGCATCCCCTTTCATGAGTTTTCTTGGATCTTGCCTAGTGTCAGATCACAAGGATGATTCTGGACTCTTTATTATTCTGTTGACGGTACAATACGTTTGAACAAAGGGCTGTTCACATAATCAAAAACTCACATAATTCAAGACTGATTTTCTATAGCGCTCATCAAAAATGGAGGGTATTTCTGTTTTTAGCCAGAGGCGACTCTGCCATGTGGCAATGTTTAGACAAAATTCGCAATTTGATTTGGCTTGGGATCTGTCTGGCTGGGTGGGGCAAATCTGTTTTAACAACAAACCTCAAAGTTTCAATGGCTTAGCGCAATAAAGAACTGTTTCTTGCAAAATCTGAGGCAGGCTGTTTGACTGTCCTCTGTGTTGCAGATATGCTAAGACAAGATTACCAAGGCAAGAGAAGAGAGAGATAAAGGAGTCACGTAGACTCTTCACTGACTCAGTCTGGAAGTAACATGTGCCAATTTTGTTCACAGTCCATTAGCCAGAACTAAAAACATGGTTCCTGTCTAGTTGGAGAAGAGGCTGGGAAAAGTGTGGGGTGGAGCACACAGACATTTGACAAACACTAATGGTCTCTTTCACACACTTGGTGCTTGATACTTTGCAATTACTTACTTAAAAAAATTGTAGGCAATTCCACATCACTTCAGGTTTTAAACATAAAACTTTCACATTACTTTCCTTCAAATATGCTTACAGGACAACTTCATGGTGAAATACATACTGTCATCTTAAGAAATCCTTTCGAGCTCTGTGTTAAAAATAACAAAAGTTTTGCTTAATAGTTGTGAGATTTGGGCAAGTCACTTAACTTCTCTAAACCTGTATCTTAACTGAAAATGAAGTAATAATCCTTCATTCATAGTTATGTTGCAAAAATTAGGTCAGAAACAGCATGTAAAACACTTGACACAGTGCCTAGTACATGGTATTTTTTTTTTCTTTTTATTGGTATTGCTGATATGTAGTGGGATCTACCTCTGTTAACAATAGTACAGGATCCTCTTAATCAGTGATGTATCTATAATTATCAGACGATAGTGTACTTTACGGGAACAAGTGATGATTTGACCAGGTTCCAGGAATGAAATGTCTTTATCTTCCGTGTACTCTTATCCTTATAGATCATGGGGAGCTTCAGAGGTCATGCCCTCCCTGGAACCTTTTTCTTTATCACTGGTCTTTGGTGGAGTACAAAGAGTATTCTGAAGTATCTCTGCAAAAAACAAAAGCGGACATGCTACGTTGGTTCCAAAGTATTATTCCATCGAATAGAAATTTTGGAGGGAATTGTATTGTTTGGCATGGCTTTAACTGGTGAGTGGGTCATTTCTGTGTTCTGTTTTCTCCTTTTGGGTGTTTTCACATACAAAGAGAAGATTCAATATAAAATCAAGAAATTGCTAAAATAATCTTTTTCAAAAATTTATTTTTAACACATTCTAATTATAATTTCTAACTGATATAATACTTCAGGAAGGTGATACTTTAGGCTTATACAAAAGCCTATTCGTTAATGAATTAGTCTTAGTAGTTAACTTGCCTCCCCAGTCAAGGTGAATTTTCTTTGTAGAATTGGAGCCTCTGAAATAATTTTGTGTGAATTGTTCTGATTCCTGAAAGAATAAACCCTATCAGAAATTATTTTGCAAAAGACACCAAAATAATTAAATGATTGTGTGAAAACTTCAATAATCATTGATTATTTCCTTCTATAAATCACTGGTGATAGGCTATAGAGAGGGGTGAAGACAGAAGAAGACCTTGCTTCATGCACTCAGCCTTTTATCTTGGATCCTAAATTGGAGAAATAGGTTAGGCCAGATGACTTCTAAGGCCTTTCTATTGACTATAAGGATTTTATGAAAATGTTCTGTGTTTTTAGAGTTCTTCTGCAGCTTCTCCTTCATGATAGCAGGACTTCCCATTTTCCTGTTAGATTTCTTCATGCATTTTTCACAGCAGTAGGTCTTTGCTGTGGCCATCAAATTACAGAGTAATTTTCCAAGGGAGAACTTTTCTTGCCAAATTCTATAAATTAACAAATAAGGCAACATCTCTAAGAACGTTTAACTGTTATATAACTGACTAGAACATATGCTGTATCAGTCTGGGCTTTTTCAGTTATCTGTAATTGGGAGAAAGCTGAATTCTTTAGCATTTTTATCCAGAAACAAGCACAGCCCCATCCTTTGTGACATCTACCCAAAGATGTAGTATCTAAGAAGGAAGTAATCAGCCTCTATAGGACTGATCTTGCAAATCCAAACCCCAAATCATTCAGGATCTATCTTAGTCATTAGATTGGTATAGGCAGTAGAACTATGATCATCAGCATTGACAGTCTGAAATAGCTCTG